ATTATGTCAGCCACAACGTCTCCTACTCCAGTTGTTTTACTGTCCCTTTGCTGAACTGTGAATTGAATCTTTGTGCAATTGCACAGCTTAACACATTTTCTTTTATGATCTTATATGATATCGTTTCTCATCACTTTTCTAAACAACAAATTGTGTTTTTGGCCGGTCTGAAATTTTTCAACGAATGGGAATCATACATGGCATTTCAAGTAGGATTTGAAACAAAGATCTGAAATGCTTATAAACTGAATCCTAAACAGTATTTATAATTTTAGCTGAAGACATCAGTTTCAGTTCTCTAAGGTTTTTAAACAGAAATGTAAAAAGCAGTTTTAGAACAAATGTATGAGTTAAAACCCTCCACAAAACAGCACCCCTCAATACAATGTGTAAATAACCTAAAAACAACCACATATTTTATTGAAGAAGCATAATATCATACTTTTTTTTATTTTATTTTTACTGTTTTTCCAGCTGTAGGAGCCTTTATTTAACGGTGGTCAGACAGGAAAGTGGGTTATGAGACGGGACAAATATGCAGCAAAGGTCATCGGGCTGGGACTTGAACCTGTGAGGGCCATGCTGAAGAATGACATTTATTTACCTTTAGACTAGACTGAGAAAATTCCTGCGAATGTCGCATTAAACAAAAAAAAAGTATTGTTTTCATTGGTCTTTTTTTAACAAACAGTACAATGACTGGAAATCAAAAACACAGGTTTAATTTTATGGCACTGTTAGAGATGGATTATTATTATTATTAAATTGTTCTTCAGATACATGGACAAATCCCACTAATTAGTCTTTGTAGCTTCAGCTACTTGTTTGTTGTTTCATCAAAAGAATGTTACTCGGGCATACCGCACTCTAATATGATTGATCAATTTCTTTCCTGCCAAGACAAGCAAATCAGACGCAGGTGTTATATCAAACGAGGATTTTTTTTTTTTTTTTTTTTTTTTGTGCGTACATCAATAAAAAGGGAAATGCGAATGCACAACCAATATAAAACTACAGCCCAGGAACATAGACTAAAACTAAAAGGGAGATACAGGCATCAGTAGAGGTTAAAACAGAAAAATGGGGACCAAGCAGCTAATATGAAATGGATGTTTCTGTTAAAAAGTTGGAGACATGAAAGTGAACGGCACTTTTTAAATTTCGTTGTTCTTGTGACAATGACAATAAAGATTTATCTATCTATCTATCTATCTATCTATCTATCTATCTATCTATCTATCTATCTATCTATCTATCTATCTATCTATCTATCTAAATGCCACAATTGCCCACTACAATGCCCTTAACTCCAAACAGAATCAAAGGGCATTGTCAAGAAGAAAATCATCAGTCTCAACAATAAAGATGAGCATGCATTCATGTGAGTGTGAAGGTCCTCGGGGAGAGATAGCGTCTACTGTGCTAGTGGAAATATGCTTAGTGTTACATTTAAAGGCAATTTGTCACAGATTTTTGGATGTCATGTACAATTCAAGCACTGAACTTCCTTACAGGATTTAGTCCAAAGCACATATAGAAATATTGAGCTTCACTTTTAAGTCCAGTCCACATTTTTCCCAAAGATGTTGTAACACAGGCTTCTTTAACCCATTTGCTTAATCATAAATACATGTAAATATATATTAAAAGATTGCTTTTCAGCAAAACGTCCACGATAATACCAAAAGCAGTGGTGCATTTTATACACTTTTTTTTTTTCACCAAAATTTTGCATGGACGATGTTTTTCAAATAATTTAATGAGAATAAAAGTTGAAGCCAATGCTGTGAACACTTGATGTCTTGATAAGAGATACCACCAGGGCCTGATTTTGCACACATGGTTAAAAATTGACCTGATTTTCGTGAAGGTACAAACCTTAACCACCTTGACCACTCTCCTACCCAAGCTGGACCAGTCTGGTTTCTGAAGTGGGATCTAGTGGTTGGCCATTACACATGAACATTCAGTTATTCATGAACTACCATTACTGACTGACAGGTTACATCTTAAAAAGCCTAAATTTTGGACAGATCTTTCAAGGTCTCAGACTTAAAATAGATGACCTGGCCAAGTTATTTTATTATGTTACACCTTCACCAATATGCAAGTGTGGAAAATGAACAGACACTAAGAGTTGACAAGGACATGTGTGGAATGTCATTGAAAAATTAGCTCATCTTCTTTCAATAACATGTAAGCCTGAACTAAAGCTGCTGGGAAAATATGATCCTGCAAACAGATTACATGGAAAAGGCAATGTTCTTACAAAACAACATGCACCCAAAAAAGATAAAATACCCATCTGAAATAGCAGTCCTATTATTTCCTGACAGTAATGTTGCGCCAAACAGCTTTACATCAAACAAGATGAAATTCAGGGAAATGTGCTCGAGTATTTTGTGACCTTCGAATTGAGTTCATGCAGTGGGAGTCTTCAAACTAAATTTACCATGGCCCTAGTGGAGGTTAATGTTTGCCCTCCCATCTGCTGTTTCTAATCATCCCCTGTTATCTATGACAAAGGAGAACGCGGGGAATACAGTTGTAGCATGCAACAGCCATCTTTTTCCATTTACCCCTTCACTCTCCTGGCCATTTCACCATCATTTGTGAAATCAGCTGTAGCAGCAGGAAGAGAGCCGGCACAAAATGTACTTCCCGGAGTGTCTATTTCATGCCAAGAGGAGAGGAAACGGTGGCTGCAGCTGAGTAGAATAAGTGAGAGAGGGAAAGGTAATGAATAGAACAGTTGGAAAGCTAGCTGGAGATGGCCTCTGAACATTTGTCACTCCAATAGGAGTTCTCTTTGTTGTGATATTGGATTTTTGCTTTATTATTGTTTTGCAAAAAAGAGGGCGTTGTTCCTATTCTTAAATTCCAGCAATTCCTCATGTCAGTTTAGGTACATTGTTTTAGATGGAAGTATAGAATGAGGCTTCTCACCTCAGACTGTATCCTATGGGATTCTGGAAATAATATGCAATTCATGCCCTTTGCTTGCCTCATGCATGAGCAGAGAACAAAAAGCAATCTAATCCTACAGGCTATTCTGTGGGGAGGCCACGGTGCTGTCACGCTACCTTATTGTTCCTCAGGGAACAGAAATAGGCAGAATTGGTGACTGTTGGCACATCAAGTGGTAACACTTCAATTCAATGTGACTGGCCTTGCTCATTCAAATAGTCTCAGACCATAACATTTAACAGTAATATTGAAAAATATGAGGCTAAGAAGAGTCCTTCCAAAGGGCATGTTTGCAATTCTACTCATTTCTGGTTGCTTACAGATTTTTGGAAAAATGTCCTCCAAGAAACAGGTGAAATATTGCAGAAAGTAAAGTATTGTCTTAGGTCATTTTCCAAAAGCCCTGAAAAAAAAATCACAAGGCATGAAATCTGCAAGGCTCTTTTTAAGAAGCCTAATCTGGTTAGATGAGCAATAAGCAATTGCTTGTAAGCCCACGTCTGACCTAAAGTTTTTGGCAACGAACATTGACAAGACAAATTTCTTAACAAATTTATTAACAAATTTATTCGGTAAGATTTGTTGATCACTGCATCGTGACTGTAAGCAAACATTTTAAATTACACAACCAAATACCAACGCAAATAATATTACTCGACTCATATAGTCAACTTATCTTTACAGACTAGCTAAATGTTTTGAGTATATGTTGAGCATTAAAATATATGCTGACATACAATTTTACATTTAGTGTCACCTCAAGAACACATTTATTGCATCTGCAATGACAGAGCTGCTCAGTTGCTGATAATGACATAATCAGAGCATCGACCACAGTTCCTGTGTGTTTAAGTTGCCAAGTAAAAGTAATGTTTCTCACCACAATAGTGAGGAACACACTGCTAATGAATACACATTGGCTAGAACCAAACCAGACTTTAGCTAGAGAAAGACTCCACAGTGGAGAAGAGGCCATGCTCATCAACTTTGAAGGCGACTTTCTAAAAAAAACAAAAAAAATAAAAAAAACTGACATGTGCAGAAACTCTGCTTTACCCTAACTTGATAAAACTTATTTATGTGTAAATATACTTATTTCACCAAAATCATTTTTTTTATTTTGAGTACATCTGTATTTCACCTCAGTTGGGCTTTTCTGTCTGCTCCACTTCCTCTTCTGAATCGGTTTCCTGCCAGCCTCTCTCCCCTGACTTCCCCTGTTTCCTCTTGTCCCCCATTCTCAGGAGAAGCTCTTGGCTTGAAGCACTCTTGAGAAAATGAAGGGGGCAAATATACATGTGAGATGTTCAGGACTGGATAATGGTGCACTTGTTTAATGTAATTGGCCTGGAAAAGCGCTGTAATTTGTAACTGGAGAACCCTGACTTGACTTGAGAAAAATGTAAATGTGCAGCAGAGGAGCCCCTTGGTTAATCAGTTCTCACAAAGAGAATACTTTAAGTTCATTAGTGTTCCATTTGCATATTCGCCCTCATAAAGGAAGTGTTAATCCCAAATGAACCTCTATCAGAGAAATGGGTTTATTTTATAATTTCTCCTTTTATTGCCCCAATTGAAGAGTATGCTTGCAATCACAGCAAAATATATATCTTTCCATTAATAGTCAATAGACTGTCTTTCATGGTTTATGTTTTATGCAGTGCATATGTATAGCACTAATATGCACGCAGGCCTAATGGAGCACATTTGAGAGTATTTAGGCGTTCTTCAGAATTGTAAGATATTTTTTCAGGAGCATTTGCTGTTGTAGCATCTGAAACTGAGACAACTACACTAGAAGGAGGGATTACGGTCTGTCTACTGTGCAAAAATACATCCACAAGATGAAAAAGAACAGAAATGTTGCACATGTGGGCGGATAACCACACAATAAGAAAGAAGTACAATATCCTTAACGATGACAACTATCAACTGGCTACATTAGCAGACTTAAATGGTGTGGAGAAAAGCTTTATGTAAAGCATCAGAAACAAATGAAAAAGGCTTGTAATGTGTAAATTCTTCTGCGTTGTTAGCTGAGAATTTTGGCTTAGGAAAGGAAAGTTTCACGATTTTCACACTGGAACAAGGCACCAGAGTTTAATTTAAAATGCTTTCTGATTGACCAAAATGTTTCAAATGCTCTTCTAATGAGGAAGATACTGCAAATTAAATTAACACCCAGTACATGATATTGATGGCATGTGGGTCAAATCATTGTTTATACATTTCACAACCAACTTTGATTTCCAATGAGAAACAACATACCACACACAGACAAGATGGGTCCAGAGCATCAGTTTAAAGTAAATATACTTTTACATTTACACAATTAAGTGTTACCTAAGTGTATTCAACACATTCATATAAAGTCCTTGTCGAAACAAGCAAGTATTTAATTAATTTACCACTTGAATTCATTTTGGTTTTTAAAGCTGTAGAGCAGTTTAAAAATAATTACATTCTCACTAAAGGGTCAAAAATGTTGAACTTATTTTTCTCTTTACATAAGGCATTTCCATTAAAGCTATCTCAAATGTTTTATTGCTTCTCATGTAACTTTCCACCTGCAATGCAAAAAAAAATATACCACAGCCAGACTTTTCTGCTGCCTGGCTAATGCCTATCATTTGTCAAAAGCTAAAAATATATAATTCACACTCAGTATTTGTAGTATATGTATTTGCAATGTAAAAAGCAGCACCATCTAATCGTAGTTTACCCTTCCCGTATAAGTGTCAGTGTAAAGTTGGTTTCAGTTTGACGTAGCAGTTCTGGCCATCTCCCAGAACATCTCTTTAGGCTCGTCAGCCTCTGATTCCTGGATGTTACCCTCTCTGAAGGAGGAAATTATGTGTTGGTAGAGGAAAAGAGGTTGAGAGAGTTGAAAACAAAGCCATCAATATGATTGGTTGTCTGGACAGAGGCCAAAGATAGGACAGAAGGTGGGAGGAGGAGAGAATGGGAAGCAGGAGAGAGGGGGGGGGGATAGGAGGTACAGAAAGTAGGCGGGGGAGATTGTCTTCAAGCCTTTTAAGTGCCTCCAGAGAGGTCAAGAGGATGCAAAGTGTGCCGGGCATTTCCATACAGCGTGTGTGTGCGCATCCTTTTGTATACTTGTCCGAGACCATTTTAGCTTAGCTGTCTATTTTGTTCCATCATTATACCCATACTGAACGTGTTTCCTGAATTGGGCAACTACCCATCCTCACGTGTCCATTTGAAGAGGACAACATCATTT